TGCAAATTTGGAGACGTTCTGTGACTTTCAAAAGAGAAATCATGAAAATCAGTTTGTTCATAAATTTCTGGCCACTACTGTATTTCATTCCACGGTAGTGCCACATCTGTGATTGTATCTAGAGGTTCTTCTTACAAAAAGAAGAAAATCTTTTCTTCGTTTTTTTCTTTAATTCAATTATTTTCCAATTGTATTATGCCTTTAGAACATGTATTTCAGACGTTCAAGAGTAGGACTAGCGATTTCTGGTTGGTCAATATCCTGAGGCGAAAGTGAGTTATCTGTAAGGACAATCTTGTGAAAGGGAATAATATACGGAAAATGACTACATTGGCTTGTCGTTCCCCTATTGGTTTTTACTAGTAATTCATATGCAACTGCATAAACTTCAAAGTCCTTCTTTTCAACATTCTAATGTCGCGACGGACAGCGCCGCGTAGGTGGAACAGCAAACAGTGGATATGTGCTTGATGACGTGTTACAAATCGACTGGATGGTTCTCGCAATGGAACTACGACTGTGTGGATGTCACCTCAATTAAAGCCAAGCACTCTTAGGTAGTGATCCCTTAGAGTACCTTAGGGCAAATTACATTAAAACTTCGAAGATTCCGTTCACGTATGGTCAGTTCATTTTGGCGCTTTGACATTATCAAGGTATCGAACTGCTTCGAAATCTTAGCTCGCAGCTTACGAGATTAAGCTCCCAATTCTGCAGAAAAATGTAGTTGTAACAGTTCCCAGATGTTCCAATCCAAACATCTTGAACGAATAGTTCCCTTCAAAGATTTCATGGGTTTCAATATAATATTCAACGCACAATGGTCCGGGAAAAGAGATTTCGTTGAAATTCATGTGGCCTGATGTTTGCTCTTTCACGCCAACTACATGGACCTATAAAGAACTTTAATGATCACATCATCACCAACACTTCATGGCGGTAGTCGTAACGTCGTAATATCCAACACTGCATGATTCGCACAAGTTCCACTAGAATGTGCTATTTTGAAATTGATGGTTCGCTGAATAGTTTGCTTATGCACCGCTGCTTGTAACTATTGAAGCTGTGCCTCAGTGAAGGGTTTCGCATAATCATACGCCATGAGAGAATCCTTCTGGAAAACCACAGCACAGATTTTTCTTAGATCTCCGAGGGTTGCAAAATGTAGGCTTCAGGGCAAATTACATTTACATCCTGCCTATTCGGTCAGTTTCTGAACGCCCACCCAACCACCCTAGCATCGTATGACTGTGCGCATTACCTCTTGTCTCGAAAAACAGCGGAGATTACGAAGCTTTTTAGTTCTCCAAAACCTAGGAAAACCTCTCTTCACTGAGTTTGCCGACTTGTATTAGACTGGTCAAGATGAAGAAAGATCAAAAACAACTCAGTAGCACATCTAGCGGTTAGATTGTTGAAGCGATCCTCTGTGTGAATTGGGTAGACGAGTCAGGATTCGCGAAGATAGTGGCACCTTCGCTACTCGAAAGTGTGTCCAGAGGCACCAGGGCGTTGTTCACTTGGTTGTGATTGTGCCCATACTGAGAGAGGCATCAGCGCCACATCGTCCGAAATCCTCTCTACTAATTGTTCTGCCCGCAGCGAATAGTTTCCTCGTCCTAGTACACTTACTAAGAGAATGTGGCCATCAGTTTCAATGTTGATCTTGGTTTCAATTATTTGTGTTGGTCGGCCTATTTGCATTTCAACATTCTTTTTGGGAGCGTCAAATGAGTATTCCATTACAAGAACGAAATTCAAAGAAGTTGAAAATTGGCTAGTGGGGAGATAGCCGGGCGCGATACCCAGAGGATAGCAAAAGATTCGATCTCGGCAATTCAGCATGGCTCACTCTTGGCGCAGTTGGTGCGCCACGCCCACGACGCGTCTGATCACTCGCCTCCGGTCTATAGGTGGATAGCAGAGAGAGCGTAGTGTTAAAGGAGGCACAAAGATGAGAGTCGCATCAACGTGGAAACCAATGGGCAAGGAAGGGTTCCTATTTCACGGGTTCTAGGCCGTTCCGCGCGTTTTTCCTTCCTTCTTTCTTGTACCATCCATCATCCTTAACTTGATTTGAAATAGGTTGCCTTTTCGTCGTCAATTCTGCTTCTGCCTTTAGGCGCACCACACTAGTCACGCAGGCTACAGACAATTTATTGTACGAACTCAAAAGACTTGCGAAGGCCTCTGAGATTCAGTGTGCAAGTCAAATGGCACCCGACTGATCAATTTGCTGTATTTCATGACTTTTTCCCGTTTAGCTGCAAATCATTACTTCTTATGACAACAGGCCAGCAAGATCGAACCCAAACGGATTTCTTTTCATTTTATCATTCTGCCCATTCAATGGAAATGAACAACGATCATGTTAGATATCACAAGAATGCTGAGTTGTGGCCAAAACTTTCGCCTTATGGTTAGCCGAGATTCGTACGCGGTCCTCTTGCTTCCTCTGCAATCGGGGTACCAGCTACACAACGGGGCAACCCAACTCAGCTTGAAAGTAAATTTACTATCACTTATCAACCTCTATACAGCGTGGTGGAAGCGGTTATGCGATATCGACAGCAAATCACAAGGCCGAAACGAATGTCGGCTGGGGCAAAAGTTTTGCTCATTACAGCATTCTTATGATAACTTTCGCCACGCGAATCGAAAAAAAAACGAAACAAAAATAACAGTTCAATAGAAACAAGATCATGTTAGAATATGTAGTAAGGGGAACTTTGCTGAATTGAAAGAACCTTCACTATATTTCCAGCGGTAAGATTCAGTAAATGGTGTTCCACTACAGCAAATTCCTGTAAGCGTTTGTTCATATTGCATCTCCTATGACATTATTAGTCCAAATGGCAAGATTCTATTTGTGTGGACACGTGAGCGACCGCAGGCAGCTGTTCAAAACAGGTGAGGGCTATCTTATAAAAGAGGGCTGATGTGTGACGCTACATCCTCCCACTCAGTTTCAACACTGAAATTGCTCTCGACAAGTTTCTAAACGTCAAAGCTTGTTATTCTTTCAGCACAACATGAAGACAGCCCTGATCGTCCTTTCCATTCTGGTCACTGTCCACGCCATCAGCCTTTTCAAGAAAAAAGAAAAGGAAGACTACTGTAAGGACAGCGACCCAAAATAGTACGTGCAGTGCTCGCCAAACCTCCTTAGCAGAGCAAATCATCTGATATTGCTCTGCCATAAAGTTACTAAATTTTTCGTGTAATATTTACAGCTGTAAGGAAAAAGTCCCGAAAGGATTCTGCGAGTCGCAGTTCCACACTAAAAACCAAATCAAAGAAAAATGCATGAAATCGTGCGGGATGTGCTGCGGCGACAAGGACCCTGAAGAGTAAGTTCTTGGAACCTTTGTAAAGTGTAAAGTGACGTGTTTAGAGGAATCTCTCCTGCTTAATCACTTTTCAGATGCAAAAAGAAGAAGGAGACGGTGGAAGATTTCTGCAACTCATCCTTCATGTCCAAAAAGGAGCTCATGGAGAAATGTGGTGATACCTGTGGCTTATGTGGAGAAAAAGAGGACGACTACTCTCGTCCGGCCCACCCCTGGGTTTAGAGCCTTATTTTGAGCACAACTCTGCAATAATGCATGTATGAGGAGAAGTACTGTATTGGGTGTTATGAATTAGCAAGGAATAAAAGCTAGTTGTTAAACGATGAAGTTCTTGAATCATCGGAAATGAAACATCATGGACGAGATGAAGCCGCAATTCATCCCAGGTTAGGGAATCAAAAGCACTAATGACGACTACAGAGTGTTCCATGAACATTGCACCACACGACTTGCATTTCTTTCAAAACTGATCCATTTTTAAGTTGCTACATAATTTTCAAACGTTCGTATATTACAATCAAAAACATTCATTCGGTATGTCTCTGTCAGTATGTGTGGCTCTCCGTTGCTTCGAATCCACTGGAGCCCGCATGCCGCTCTGAAGGTGAGGTGTCTAAACGTTGCAGAGCGTTTCGCTTGTTCATGTGGACACGTTGAAGCAAGGGTTGCTCACCGCGCAGGAGCTGCGAGGGAAGGACTTCTCGTGTAGGCGCCAATGGACTAGTATTCTGACGTCCTTGCCCGTCGGGTGTTTCTCCTCTCCCTCGGGTCGCGAGCCTTGGGCTACAGACCTGGCCACCCTTTGCCTACTTTCCTACTGTGTTATCCGATGAGATCCTACTAAACCAACGCCCCACAATAAAGGCAGTCAGTGTGCACTAAAGATTATCACCACTCTTCTTACACTAACAGAGTACGGTGCTAGTAAACTTATGTATCTTAAGTAACTCATCTAAACTATAGGTTCGTAAACAGATCGATGAGAGCTACGATTCCGTCTCGGAGGCCTGCAATCCTCTGGGACGGTAGTAAAGTGCCATAGACTGGGAGTTAAAGGTGGTGAACTACGGCCGTAAACGGTGAATAATGAAAGGCGAGACAGCCAGATGACCCCGCTCTGAATGGCGAACTTCACTACATTCCTAGCAAAAGTCGCGTCGCCATGGACTTGAACCATGTAATGCAGCGCCCATGAGCGCGACGTTTGCCACTGCACCACAAAGCATTGCTGGGTTACTTTGAAAGAATTGTAGAAAGCAAGGTAGTAACCTATGAGGGTTGCAAAACACCAGTATCATGGAGAATTGATCCCGCGAGCGATCCAATGTCAACAAGGAACGAACCCACTGCGCCAATCGACGTGTTTGAAACGGGATCATGGCCTATGATTGTACAGTAGTGAAATGCTCCCAGGACCAAGGAAGGAGCTATAACACGATCAATAAGTGGAACACTGCAGGGGACAGCTGATCACCTTATTGGCAGAAAGTTATCAATATTATCGATAGCTCCAGTGGCTTTCTTGCTGCCCACACTCCACGAACCCCCTTCTTCCCTGCGCTCTGCGCATGGCAGGGACGCAGAGACGCTCAATGCGACCAATGCATGACGTGCAGAGAAAGGGGAAAGTGCATGGGGATTGAAGAGACGCAGATAGACGGCGACTAAAATGTACTCAGGGGTACATTTTAGTCGCCCTCTACATGACCCTCTGCGTCTCTGCAATCTCCATGCACTTTCCTCCTTTCTCTGCCAGGTTCGCCGTCTAGGCAAGGTGCCACCTTATACGTTGGCCACTTAAGATGTTGCCTAGACCTCGCCCATTGCGGCAGGTCAGCGCGAGTTTCCCGCCTTTCCCAATGCTTTTTAGGTGCGGACGAAGGCGACGTCAACGCGACCGGCCAACTATAGACTGGCCGTTTAGGAGACTTGACTACCGTCCCTGATATGTTGATTGGCCGTGGGCTTTGCAATATCAATGATTCCTTCGCCACTGGCTCTGGACTAGACAGACTAGCGGACAATAAGTTTCACTGAATGTTTTAAGGGTTCATGCCCTAACTGCAGCCGCGTCGCCATCATAGAACGACGTAGGGGAAGCACTTGTCGCGAATCGCGCATCGCTCCCTGGAATCCCTGGACGTGCCGGCGCCTGCGAGCTTCGTGTTGCCATGACCCAGCATGACCTATCCGTGATCGTGCGGCAGCCATATTGACGGCACGAGCCTTTCGAACCTTATTTCTTCAGTGAAGGGTTTAGTTCACCGGCGGTCCTTCGACGGGTCAATGGCGGTGACCCGACGTGAGTGTTTTTTACTAACCTTGATGTGACTTGACTTCTCCACAGTTACAATTAGTTCATAAAACTTACTTTTATTTGTGTCGTGTTTCCGTATGGTTTCACCCAAGTTCGCTACTTGATGAGTAACTTGAAAATTCCTTATTGATCGGAGATACGTTGATTAGCGATAATTCACTTCATGGGTTTCCTAACTTTAAAGTCATGTAGGAGTCGACCGCTAGTGCTAATGCTAAAGTCAGGGCGCAGAGTACTTCACCAGGGGTTACCGTCCTTGTATTCCGTGTGAGCCCTCACCAGGCAGCTATCGGAATACACCCTGTGGGGTCACCGAAATGCGACATGGTGCATCGGCCGGGAATCGAACCCGGGCCGCCCGCGTGGCAGGCGAGCATTCTACCACTGAACCCTTCCGTTGAAAATCGTTCATTTCAGCTTCATTAGTGTAATGCATTACATTGGTTTTCTCTAAGTAGTCTTTAACTACGTACGAAACTTCTCAATTCAGTGAAATTCGATTCTGGACTATGGCGATGTCACTGTTTCGGGTTAACCCCAATAACACACGGGAATGCGACACTTTTCTAATGAGCCCTTTTTTGCCTTTGTGCAATTTCTTCACTCATTTTACGACATTTTATTCATTCTTAGTTCACGTTAGCCTGTTTTTCATTCATAATTCGCATTTTGAATCGAAAAGTGACTCTCGTCGAGAAAATCATAATTTCTCATTTTAAGCGTGACGTCATCAATAATCGATTTCACCACCTATGCTATGTTGTGTCATGCAGCTGTACTCTTTTACGTCTAACATACATAATAGTTCAGCATACATCATACTTCCTTTCTTCATTAACTCTTCAACAACTCTGAGTGGAGCAATGTGTGCTTTAGTTCAAAACTCAAACTTCCGAAATTTTGGAATTACACCTTTTGGAATTTGATATAATTCGTTTGAGCAATTCTAAACTTAGTTCAGAATGAGCATTGCTTTTCGGAACAACCAATCTAAAGCATCAGCCACATGCGATCATCTTAGATACTTCATCTTTAGTCCACTGCTGTTAGCGTTACTCATTTTCGTTATACCTAGAACCTAACATAACACTCTCAGAACCTAACAACGTACTCGACACCTGTACTGCATTCACCTTTTATGCAATATTTTGAATTCTCACCAACTATTTCAGTTTTTTTCCTCCAAAACACTTTCACAATTATTGAAAACTCAACAATTACGCGATCTTTGCACGATTAAATAACTTTGCGACCCCATCTAGCTTTGCCTCTTTTCAGAGCTTGGTAATTAGTGTTCTTGCGATTATGGTTTCTCGCAGTAGCAGTCCTGAAAAGGGATCGCCCCACGCGCATCGTGGTTGGACTCGCAGAAAAAGAGTCAGAGGTAGGTACCCACGTAATACTCATAGTTCAGTAAGATCTACTCCTCCTGCTCAGCGCGGGCCGACTCAGCAATTGCGTTTTGCTAGTACATCCCCTCCTTCCCAGCCACGTGACAATTCTAGTTCATCTCGTTCGTCACCGTTCATTGAACCCGAACTGGAATCTTCATGGGCAGAACAGATGACGGCGGAAACTGCAAAGGATTCAACACAATACACAGCTGCAACCTCAAAGGACGACAA